TCTGCTTTACAGAGCAGACGCTGAATCTCCGGTACCAGGTTCAACGTGTGATGGTAGAACTCCTCCTGCCCCAAGCCAGAAACGCGCTTCTTCATAGTCCAAGTCCCACGGTTTCTCACTATCCCCACCGAGACGGTCCCGTTGTGTAGAGGAATAAGCCAAACCCAGCCACTTTCGTCTAATGATTGAGGCAAGAACGGTTAGTATCGTGATGGAGAAGGATGGAGGATGAGAATATGATTACCGTGCAATGCCTCGAAGAAAGGTTGATTCTCCAAGGGGGTACCCTTTGCATAAGGCTCAGCTCCTCTCCAGTATCCCCAGTGTGCGATGTTCTTGAGACTCTCATTGTATCGGCGGTTATGAAGATACTTAGTGCTAAGCAAGCCCTTTCGACCACTTGCGTCGACCAGATAATCGAAGGCAATTTCTCTGACCTCATGAGACTCGTCTAGTTGGCTCACATATGACGCGGAAACAGGCCTGCCAAGCTGAGAATTCGCATCGGGGGCAAACTGAATGGACTTGACCTTGAAACCGTCGAAAGTCTTTGCGCCGCATGTCGCTGCGTGCTGAAACATCAAATGGTCAGCCTCAGAGCGGACAACATTCCACGCGTAGTTGTCGGCCCCCCCAGCGGCAAGGAAATCAGTGTCTATACACCACAGAGATGTATTAGCAACGGGACAGAAGTAAGCTTCGTAGTATCATACTCCCGGCTCGCTTGGCTTTATCCAACTTGAAAGATGCTCCAAACTATACGCCCTTGATTAGTCGTGGCGGTCGCTAGTAGGGGCCAGAGTAAATTACCTTCTTCGTGAAGCCATAATGGTCGAAAGCCTGATCCAAGTCAATGAAACGAAGCAGATGACGCATTGATGGCAGCATGCTCTCCCCGATATGATAACTGGACAAGACTTCAGTCCTGCAATGGAACAGATCGCCGAGAAGGAGCTGTGAGGATGGTATTTACCGAGGGAACTGGTCTGCTTCCAGCAACACTGTATCAATACCCTCACGAGCCAGAGCGGCAGCACAGTATGAGCCACCTGGTCCACCACCAATCACAAGAACAGCGCAACGCTCTGGGATGTTCTGTAACATCGTAACCGTGATGACACTCAGCTTGGGACTGGTAGGTGGAGATGAGGGAGGGAGGGAGACATTCCGTGTTAAAATATAACAACATGAAAGGTAGATCAGCTGATGAGCTTAACTCTCTGTTATTCACTGATCAGTGGTCATCTCACAAAAGTTTGTTTGCTTGGTATATCCGGGGCTGACAACCAGTGAATCAGAGCACTAGATCGGTTATAGATGCCCAAGTGACAAGGGCCTTGGCTAGCGGGCAAACCATGATTTGCAACCATGCCCCGACTGGAATATCCTAGAGCAAGCTTCTATAGCAGATTTTTAGCCAGCTGAAAGATATCTCACTAGGGTGCGCCATGTTGACTGGGTGCCTGAGCGATCGCTGTGAAGGATTCAACCATACCAGATAAGGCTTCTGTGGTAGCGATGACTGCTGACTTCAGCTGTCGGTGAAGCATCGGGACAACTGTAAGCGATACTCTTGAGGGAGAAACGCAGGGCCTGAAGCACTGGATGGATGATTTTGTCGATCGATCCTACTTGTTAATCCCTGGCATATAGAGTCTCATGCCGCTCAGATCAGGTCTATCGCATGGCCACCAGTGCACTGGAGATCCGGTCTGTGTCACAATCCTGTCAAAGTCAACTATAATGTCTTGCAGGAATGCATCAAGGTGCATGTTGATAGAGCCGGAGTTATTCTCTTCGGTTGTTCACAGATTTAGAATATCCATCATTGCCTGACTTGTCTGTGCTGCAGGGGCGAAGGTCGAGACGCCTTGCAGTTCATCTCATGTAATAAGATAAGAGAAGATTATCTCAGAATTTAGACCGAGACATCAAACAGTCACGGTTCTTTTCACTGGAAGATAGAAGGAGGGGGTCCGACACAGCCAGCCTTACAGCAACAACAGGAGAACAACAAAACTACCCCGCGCAGCCGCCCTCAGCCTTCCACTGCAGCCTCGTCTAGTCTTCCAACTTCAAGGTTTCAAGGTTGCTCCATAACTTTCCACAATACGAATTCCTCCACTCAAATATTCGTCTAGCTTCCACATTACCCACCGCATAATGAGCAAATCATTGTCAATTCTCTGTTTCGGCAACTCCCTGACAGCAGGATACTACAACTGGGGCCTAGGATACCACCCTTACGCATGGAAACTGGAAGAACGCCTTAAGGCTGCATTTTCAACCCACACCATCCGGATTGATGTCGATGGGCTTCCGGGCGACTTGGTCAACAGCCCCCCGGGGCGCTTTCTGCCGCGCTTGGAGCAAAAATGTAAGCCTCCAAGCGTCCGGCATTCCCTGCCTGCCTCTGTCCTACACCGATGAGAAATTAACCGAAGGATCGAACCAATTCAGGCGCAGCAGCATCCTATGATTGGGTGATTATGCTCGGGGGGACAAAGTCGGGGATTTCCTCTTCCTGATTTTCTATTCAATACTGATCATTGATATATGCAGTGACCTCGGCTACATGTACTCCGCCGAAAAGATCCTTCCCGGGTTGATTCAGGCCTGGACCATGGCTATAAAAAGCGGCGCCAATGTACTAGCTCTGACAGTGCCTGAATGCGGGGCAGTGCATCAGCGCTTGAATAATGCGCGCGCGGAACTCAACTCGCAAATCTTGAGTTATGACGCTGATAGCTTGTGAGTTTCTACCTCCCCAAGGTGAGGATTGATTTAAACTGACTGAGTAGTTATGCCTTTGATCTCCACAAAGAGGTTCCCTATCATAGCGCTGCACAGGACTTCAAGGAGAAGATCTGGGATGACGGGGTTCATATGAAACCAGATGGTTATGATCTAGTTGGGAATTTGATCGCAGACCATTTGATTCAATTGCTCAGCTAGAGACCAGAGGCAGACCAGGGTATCTAGGAGATTCAATTTCAGATCCTTGGTATGCAGAGTCAAGTGTGTCCTGGATGAGATAGAGAGATTGAAAATAACCTTGGGAGCAGAGATACCTGATGATGTCGAATTAGACGACAACGCTACATAAAAGGAGGCTCTATGAGAGTATTTGTATTCTAGAATAACTTCTACCACATCACTAGGTAGAAAGTGCCGCCACCTCTGTAAATTTGGGAGTGGATCCAAACAGCTGACGATGGAGTCAATAGTAGGATGCATTATCCTCCACCCGGCTTAGTGGGATCTTTCTACGTCGGCGGCATTGAACCCAATCTCAAACCCCTGCGATTGCTTCCTGCCTCCCCTCCCCCACACTTACAAACGCCTCCTACATGATGAAGCAACCACACACTCAACAAGACGAACTCGTCTTCGTGAACATATCGCGACCCGATGAAATCAAGACCGCCTCCACCCAACGCACCATCCGACGTACGGTCATGCGGGACATTGGGAGATCGCGTCGGACACAGCGAAAGCCACGAACCTGGACCTTGTCCGTAAGACAGCCCTTCAATCCAAGCACAACGGCCGTCGATTCTCTTCCATCATTGACGAACACGAGCATTCCGGCTTCTATTGACCCATGCAATACCGCTTACTACCCCGTTCATCTCGACGACCGAGGACTGCAGCTGATGCACTTCAGTACGATTCCCGCAGGCCAATCCATACTACCGTCTCAGTGCAAAGCTTACCAACCGTAGTGACAAGCGACAAGGACTATGTTTTCCGACCGTTTCGCTCCGTCTGGTTCTCCATGGCGCTGACAGACCCCAGCGCCATCTTCGTCGCCTTGGCGAATGCGGCCATGTTCTTTGACCAAAGAGTCCGCGCGCAGGAGTTCAAATATGAGACAAGCTCCGAGTGCTTAGCGTACTACGGAAGGTGTGTGCAGCAAGTAAGGGCCCGGCTGGGAAACGTCAAGGAAAGTCTCAGCGAAGGTGTGATTACCGCTATTCTGGGATTGATCTGTCATGATGTAAGGCAGGCTTACTTTGCTGGAACGACTGCATTGAAGGACTGACGAGTGCTGAAGCTTTATGTTGGAATGGGCGACCGATGGAATACACACTTCACCGGCCTTGAGCGCATCATCCGATCTAGAGGAGGGTACCATGGTCTCAGTCCCAATGTGGCCTTATTCGCCTTTTGGTGTGTTTTATGGTGTCAATCCCAATTCAAGGAGGTTGAGCATTAGCTGACGGTTGCATGACTAGGCTTGATGTTGTTGGGAGTGTGGCGGAGGATACTCGTCCGCGAATGCCAAAGCCATCCGGGCTTGCAGCATACTTGGATGCTGCTCCTCCCGATGTTATAGCGCCCTCGGTAAGAGGCCTGCTCGACAATTTGCTTATTAGGGACGGGGCGTTCTGTGATGTGGTGATCGCCTTCAACTACGTGACATCAGTCGCAATGGCCGTTGATGGAGTGCAACGTGACACTGAGCCATTCTGGCAGCGCGAAGACAGCCTCACCATAATCAAATTGTTCGGACCAGCAACACATTTCCTTCTGTCCATGCCGAGGCCAGTGGATCTTGATTCAAGCTTGGAAGGAACTAAGTTTCTTGTAGAAGCCATACGGTTGGCTCTCCTATTGCTCCTTGCAGCTTTGAAGAGAGACGTCTTTCGGTTCACTTCAAGCGAATTGCCACACCTGCAGCGCAAATTCACAGCTCTTGTTGCCTTCCTACCCATGATCAAGTATGATGTTCTATGCCTGAGGCTATACCTTTGGGCGCTGGTGATCGCTTCACTAATCGCGGACGCGGAAAGAAATGATTTGTACATAGCGGAAATCAGGTCCGCAATCAATTCTCTAGGCATCGATGTCAATGACGCTTTGAAATTAGTCAAGAGCATCCTCTGGGTTGACGCGTTGCACATTCAGACCGACCAGTTCATTTCGCATTTATCCAAGTCAACATGTACCTAGAATGAGTACACAGACAAGCTGATTTTAAACCATCCTCAACCACCCACTATTCCGCCGCTGACTGAGATTACTTGCCCCGATATCCACCGACTTCTCTCGGAGCACAACAAAAGCACCGCGTCCGCGACATCTTCAACAGTGCCTACCCTCTCTTCCACCCGGGTCATGGGTACCATAGTCTTGTGAATCTTCTCTGCCACATGAGGTGGCACACCGTCCGTATCCACGGGACCAGGTGAGACCGTGTTGATCGTTATGCCGCCATGACCGCGGCCCAGCTAAGAATAATCAGCACGCTCTTCTACATGTTGGTACAGGATTAGGGATGCTGTCCCATCTTACCTCACCAGCCATAGCAAGTGTCAATGCATCCGTCGCTGCCTTTGAGGCGAGATAAATCGGCGACCCCGAAACTCCTAGCTTTGACGCCACAGAGCCGATGTTAATGACACGACTGCGCGGAGGCATGTGTGTCACGGCGGCTTGAATCAAATAGAGAGGCCCAAAGACATTTACGCCGAAGGTGGCTGCCATAGAGTCCGGGGTCGCACTCAGTGCGGGACCAGGAAACCCCGTTCCTGCATTGTTGACTACAAGCCTCAAGTAAGCCACCGGATCTCGGTAAGCGCTAGGACAGAACTCACCTAGTATATCGATCTTCCCAAACGCGGTGACCGTCTCCGCCACAAGCCTCTGTGCCTCGTCAGGGCGAGAGATGTCTGCCTGGACGACAAGTACCTTGCCGCCTGCTGCGGCTATACCCTCAGCCACTGCTGCGGCGGAGGAAGCTGTTGACGCCGAGACGTAGTTGATGACGACAGATGCACCATGCTGTGCAAGAGTCATGGCTATACCGGCACCGATGCCTCTCGTTTTGCCTGATCCAGTAATGAGAGCCACTTTGCCTTGGAGGCTAAGAGAGGAATCGGGTTGGGCTGTCATTGCGAGATAAGGTTTGTTGTCATTTGAAAGATGGAGATTCGAGAGAATCGAAGCGCCTTTTATGTCCTTCCCTGACTCTTGAAAAGGACCTGACCGAGCTCCAGTGAGCCATTTTCTGCTTTCGAAGGATGCTGTGGACTACAAGCCGAGAAGCATGAGGCTATACTTGATTGCCTATTTGGGAAAACGGTATTCCAGCCGTGCATATTGACCTAGCTGGAAAGAGTTAGGCATTTCTCCACTGCTCGTGGCCATGCGATGATGCGACTGGCTCGCAGCCGAGCCTTCGGTATCAGCTATCTCTGCCTGGACTACCAGTATCAAAACAAAGTGACGGAATAGTTTGAAGAGAGGAAGAATTTTTTGCAAGCCCTCGCGACTTGCCGCCGATTAGGTCGTTGTCAACACCATCATCGTGGGGCTAGGTGCTGGCTTGACTTGGTGCCTTTTTCTGCCACCGCCTCTTTCCTTGCACTGGTTGATCGCTAATCAATCTGCGATGGTGCTGCTGACCACGAGCGATCATTTAGGCGAGGATGAGATGAGTTACTATACTAATCATCTGGACTGTGGATCCAATGGCCTATTCAAAGGCTCCCATAGCCAAAATCATCGAGCAACTACAGGCTTACAACACAGCATTCCATCTAACAATCATCCAATGCACCCTATGGCTTGTGTTCTATCCCGAGCAACAAAGATGTTGCTTCGAATATGAACGATGATTTTGGAATACTATGTCTAAAAGATTGTGGACCGGCACTTCAACCAAGTAAGGTTTGAATTGTTTGAACACATGGACTCTTTGATTTTGGGCAGAGTGCAGCTTGATTCTATACCTAGAGAACGAAGACACCACTATCAAGGGCGACCCATGTCCTTTTCCGAGATGAGGCTGAATCTCCTTTTTTGCTTCTTCAGGTGGGCTGTCGTAATCGTATCTGATGAAGGAGCCTCGGAACTAAGGTATCCACGTATAAAGATCGAGGCGGTGAGCTCTTGCAGCCAATGGAAGGTCAGGAATCCTTGTCAGTATCGCTGCCAAGAAGCCTAAAAATCAGAGTCGACCCAATGGCACGCGCACAACCAACGTGGATCGTTAGGTATTCTTTATACGCTGATGTGCAGTATTCCGGACTGCATATTACATCCATAGTACCAAGTTATCCATTCTGCCCAGTGACGGAAGAAGACCACGACAATCAGGGGTCGGCCTGACAATGGTCCGACAGGGTAAAGATCGTGTGGAGTAGTCGGGAAAATTGAACTGCCCGAAAACCGATCCAATTCTATTCTTGTGTGAGAAGAGAATAGAGACAAAAGAGAGAAGAAAAAAAAAAAAAAAAAAAAAAAAAACCCCTGGAAGCAAGAGAAAGACGGGCCCGTAAGAGGAAGACATTGCGAGGCCGGAGCGGAAGGATGCTTGGACCATCCGTCGTCTACGGAGTACACAACTCAACATTAAGTTAACTTAGGTTAGCACTACTCCGTACACTACTTTCTCCGTCTTGCCGTCTCTTCTTCTTCTTCCCTTCTTCTTCTTCAACCTCCTGCTTCCCCACGGTTCGCTTTCCTCAATTCGCACTTGCGTCTGCGGCTCCTTTTCCTTTTTTCCCTCCTTTCTCTTCTTCTTATAGCCCTTTTTGTCTTTTCCCGTTGCCCTCTGGGTCGCTCTCCTTCAGTACGCTCTGTTGGTCGATCATCCCCCTTCCCGCGCGCTCTGTCAATTCCCGGCGCTTCACATTCCGCTCCGCTCGGTACTTTTTCCCCGTGCGCCTTTCTGCTTTCGGTGGCTTGAAGAGGGCCGTTGGATACGAAAAGGGAGGCATCACCGGTCCCTTATTCAACATACAAGCAGGCGATAAGCTATCAGTCACATCCTGCCACTCTGTTCAGCATGGTTCGAGGACGTAGATCGAGTAATTTGGGTGCGGACATCCGCGGTGACACCGGCGCACCGGCCATGTCGACCATGAATGAAGTCAGCCCAATTGATGCTGAAGCCCCGAGCTGGGACAAGGTATGATCACATTAGGCCTCATCGTTGGCTCTCACTGGCTTTTGTCTCCCCTTCCACTCCGCTCACTTCACCATTAGGTGCTGCAGTCCAGTGCCTCCGATGACAAGTCGACGAAGCTGCCCGCGAAACGCCGCAAGAAGTCCTCTTTGCGCCGCTTCAAGGACGTTTGCCTGAAGCACACCTGGCTTCTGCCGTTGCTGATCCTCATTGTTCTTCTGTCCCTGTATGCGATCAACCCGACAACATCGAATCCGCTGCACAGCGCCATCTTCCTGTCCTACCCGCAGCCCCCGAAGTACCCCGGCGGTCCGATTATGTACGGCAAGGGCCCCAAGGATATTGCTTTCGTCTCCTTCTACACGGTGGTCCTGTCTTTCACTCGTGAATTTATGATGCAGCGCTGGATCCGACCCTTTGCGGTGTACTGTGGCATTCGCGGAAAAGGCAAAACTGCTCGGTTCATGGAGCAGGTGTATACAGCGATTTACTTCGGAATCTTCGGTCCCTTTGGTCTGTATGTCATGTACAGATCCGACATCTGGTATTTCAACACTACAGCCATGTTTGAAGGCTTTCCTCACCGGGAGCATGAAGCGCTGTTCAAGGCCTACTACCTGCTCGAGGCGAGCTACTGGGCGCAACAGGCGATTGTCTTGATGCTTCAATTGGAGAAGCCCCGCAAAGACTTCAAGGAGCTGGTGGCACACCACATAATCACCTTGGCCCTGATCGGACTGAGCTACAGGTTCCATTTCACTTACATGGGTATCGCCGTGTATATTACGCACGATATCTCTGACTTCTTCCTTGCCGTATGTACTCCAACCTCTACCTGGCTCAACTTGATAATAACATGGTTATGTTACAGACCTCCAAGACCCTCAACTACCTCGACCACTGGATCACTGCGCCGTACTTCGGTATGTTCGTCGGCATGTGGATCTATCTTCGTCACTACCTGAACCTGAAGATCCTCTGGGCTGTTCTGACTGAGTTCCGCACTGTTGGACCCTTCGAGCTTAATTGGGAGACTCAGCAGTACAAGTGCTGGATCAGTCAATACATCACCTTCGCCTTGCTGGCCAGTCTGCAAGCTGTCAATCTGTTCTGGCTTTTCCTGATTCTGCGAATCCTGAAGAACTACATCATCAGCGACATCAAGAAGGACGAGAGAAGCGATGATGAGGATACGGAGGAGGAGATTCCTATTCCCGACGCAAGCAGCCATGCCACCATCGCAACGGGTATCGAGGAGCCGACGCTGAGTGCCCGCAGCAAGGAGAACAAGACTCCCCAAGTCCTTGTGAACGGTCAGCCGGTGTACAACAAGCACTAGCCAACTGCGAATTGCAGACTGGTCGGTCTCCTACTATCGAGCTGCGGCGAAAGTGCGCATCTGAGCGGTCCATCCCCGGATCGTGTAGCCCACCCTTGGGTGAGGCTTGTCTATAACTTTTAACTTCCCCAAGAACATTTTATGGCATCCATGTTCGAACCCCCTTTACATTTTTCAATTCCTTTTCGTGAACAAACCCGACAGATGTATTTTCTCCATGTCTTTCCCCCTCTGCATGGTCATCAAGTGCAAGTGGGTGTATGAGGGTAACGGCTGGCTTTGCATGCACAGTGTTTTGTGGTGTCAATCATTCTGGGCGGGCGTACCTGGGCATGCAACCTTGAAATGGATATAAGCGACGAATCTGCCATGACTGCGCACTTCCTTTTTCTGTTTCTGTGTTTTCTTCTGATGGCCGTGCGGAGAGCGGATCTTTTCTCCTCTCCCCGGAGACGTGAAGGGCGCATTGGGACCGCCTGCAGATGTCTAATCTAATATAGTAATAGATCCGCACTGGCTGACAATTGGTCGGTGCGATTCACTTTCGATTTCCTCCACTGCAGGCTTGTGACATTACTCCCGTGCATAATCACATGCCAATTGGTGTAGCATTCGCCGGTTTACATCCCAACCTTTTCCAGACCTAGACTCACAATGTTTTATGCTATGCAGGAATCAAACAGGGTACGAAATTATATCAGTACGTTGCTATTTCAAACAACGGCACAACTCTTCAGGAAACTTCATGATCTTATACATGAAAAAACATTTGGATCATACAGAAAAAACCCCATCTTCCTCCCGAAGCAACGAGAATCTTTCGACCTATCTATCGGTCTACTGCTGCGGACGATCCGGCGACACCGCCCCCTTCACCTTAGCCGTCTCCGTCTCGCCCTCCCCCTTGACACTCTTCCCGGGCTCGTTCACATGCGGATGATCCGTCGTGGCATTAGAAAGACCCTCCTGCTTGCCGGAGATGGTCGCCGAATTGCCAGGTTCCTTGCGGGTTGAGGGCTGTTGTTGCAGGGTCAGCATCATCGACACAAGGTCTATCTTTCTTTTCGGGGTACAAGGGTGGTAAAGATGTGGAACAGAAGACCCACCTCATCAGCCTCCGACGGTGCCTTCCCATCCGTCGAGGCGGTCGCGGCCCCCGAATCGGTCTTCTGTTCGGCGTCCCGGTCCGGCTGCGGGGCGGAGTCCTTGGCGGCGGCGGATTCTTCCTTCTCGATTGGGGCGGAGGTCGAGGTCTTGCCCTTGGGTTCGCCGTGGTGGTGCGTGTCGGGCGTGTCGTGCGACGAGGCCGCGGCTTTGGGGCCCGTCGCGAGGAGGTAGTACGCGCCGGGGATGCCGAGGCCGAGGGAGCCGATGAGCCTGGTTTCGTGGTGGGTTAGGAGGTTGGTTTGTGAGGGGTCAATTGGGGAGTGGAAGTGGAGAGAGGCCAATTGGATGAAGATAGGTATAGGTGCAGGGAGGCGTTCACTTACCAGGGGAGGTCGGAGGACTTGTTGGTTGATTCGGTGGCTTGGGCGTATGTTCGTCGGGCGAATTGCTGGGTGGGCACTTGTCGTCGCACGGTGCCGAGGGCTCGGGCGGAGGCGCGGAGGATATGAGGGCGTGCGAGAACCATTGTGCTTTTTTTTTGTTGGGTCTAGGGGTTCTTGATGGTGGGTTGAGAGGAATTGAGTGTATGGGATGCTAGGGATGAAGCAATTGATGTGGGTATGATATTATGGGAGAGAAGAGGAGGGGAGAGAAGGAAGAAGGAAGGAAGAAGAGGAGAGGAGAGGAGGGATTAAGGTGTGAAAAGAGGAGGCTGGCTGGATTTCGGAGGGAAGAGGGAAGAGGAACGATGATGGTATGACTTAATGGCCAGGGAGTTCGACTATAGACTTGGACTTGGCTGTAGCTTACTTGTAGTTACACTGACGGAACGGGAATTGCCGGCGTGATCTTATGGCTGGCTGGCTTATAGAGGACTTCGATTGTACACTGCAGTAAGTAACGTTATACGTTATTGATTACACCAAATGATGTAATGTCCCCATGCGGAGATCGGCCGCGGTGCTTCTTCCCTCCCGGTTATTTCTCCGTGTTGTTCTATACTTGGCTTGCTTGCTTGCTTGCCTATACCTACTTCCTTATTTGCTTCTTTCATATGTAATCACTGTGGCACTCATTTCCTCCATCTCTCGGCTTCAACATCGCCAGCAATGTGCAGTCCTCGATGGAAGCAAATGGCTCGTGTTGGTGGTGGTTGACTGCGCTGATGGCCGGTGTCGCCTGCCGGAGAAGCTTACCGTGGCCTCAGGCAGCCAGCCCCGATAGCATCAGCTCGACTTGACTATCCGCACTTATCACATTCACATTCACTATCGAGCGGACTTTCGTTCCCCTCACCACTTCCCTCCCCTTCCCCCCATTACAACTTGATTTATCTCCTCAAGTCTGTTGCACTTCCTTATTCCTTCTCTACATTATCGCTCTGAGGACTTGCACTTCTTTTTCTCATCTCGGTTCAAGAGCGCCACCTTCTACACCTCAAATTCCAGTGCGGGGCTTCATCATGGCGGACCGACAAACAGTGCAGCACACTTTGAACAACCTGCTGCATAAGCTGGATGATCCCGATCCGGACATGAGATACATGTCCCTCAACGATCTTCTTGGTCTCCTGGACAACCCAAACTCCTCATATCTGGCCCATGACCAGGTTTCCGCCTCGAAGCTGGCCGAGGGCCTCCTCAAGGCGCTTGATGATCAACACGGCGATGTCCAAAACCAAGCACTGAAATGGTATGCTCCCTGGTCTTTTAACTTTCACATACACACAACTGACTCCTCTGTAATAAACTAGTCTTGGTCCCCTCGTTCATCGACTGCCATTTGAGAATCTCGCCTCTATTCTCGAAAAACTCACCAACCTCACAGCCTCTCAAACCATCGATACATCCGTCCCCAATACCGCTCTGCGATACATCGTCACTGCTCTCCCTCGCCCTCAGGCTGGACAAACTCCCAGTCAAGAGGCCACTTCGGCTTACTCGGCGGTGTCTCGTGTGCTCATACCTCGTCTGACCGGCCCCATACCTTCCCCCTCCAGCAGAAGAGGGTCTGTAGTCAAGGGAATGCTCGAGAAGGACCCATCCAAGGGCTTCAGTAGTGATGCCATTGACGTTCTTATTCAAGTCGTCACTTGCTTCGGACCGCTCTTGCAGGAAGCTGAGCTGACCGCCCTGCAAAACTCCGTCATGTCCATTGTCGATAACGACACGGCTGGTACCGTGGTGACGAAGCGCGCACTGGCAGCCATCTCAGCCTTGGTCCTTCATTTCTCCGACCACCAGCTTAACCTCTTTGTGAAAGACCTCACCAAAAAGTTCAAGTCTCAACCCACCACGATTCACCAACGTCACCTTGTCGCCACGGTGGGCAGCATAGCGAAGAGCGCCCCCGCAAAGTTTGGCCCCTACCTTCCAACGCTGGCGCCATTCGTGTTCTCGGCCCTTGGTGAGGATGCAGTGGCCCCAGTCAGCTGAGCTGACTTTCTGATGATGCTCCGACGGACTCCTCAAAGCAAAAACTCCAATGTAATGTAGGATCTCGTCTCGATAGATTGATGAACTCTCGGTTAGCTCTGGACCTCGTGGATTACTATACCCTCAATGAAAATAATGGCCTCATATCTACTTTCAGACCTAGCTCACTTATGCAAGGTCATCACAGTCGTATTCTGGACGACTATCTGGTACCACTAACGAAGCGCGTCTCCTGCTCGCCACAGCTGGGTGGCAGCCACTGCCGTGCCCGCGTAACTTCCCGACATATGGATATGAACTGCTACCTCGGGGGGTTTCTGGGGAAACCTTCTTGCACCGAGACATAGATTGCGCTTTGGACTTGTGTTTATGTCAGGGCCAGGCCAATCAGTCAAAATGGGCATGTTTTGATGAGGAATATCTGGAAGCAGGGTATGTGGTTCTCCCGGCTAGTTGCCTGTCTTTATTGCAGTCTAGCATTTGAAATCAGGCCAAGATATCTCAGGCAACGACAGGGTCTCAGCACGAATGGAGATTTTGAAGGCGTTTCCCATCGCTACTGCCTCATGGTCATGTTTGGATCAAGCTGGTCGCTTCCTGGTCGCTTCCTGATCGCTTGATGTCCACAGACTTGATAATCGCAGCTTCCTCCTCTGCATTGTCGGCCAACACTATCAAAGCAGCTCTGACATTTCTTCCTCCAGCTCTCTTCCTATTTCATCCCACACCTTCAACATCTTATCTTCCACACCAGACTCTTATCGTGTTGTATTACACTGCATCTTAGCCTTCGTATACACTTTACCAGTTTCAGAGTCGGCACTATGCGTATGCTGAACTGGGCCCTCCCCTTCTGGGGTCTTGCGGCGTGCACGACTGCCCGGAACATCATCACTCTACAGTCGAGCCACCAAGTGTCCCCAATCCTTCATCGCCCCCAGGAGGATGTTAGCATTCAACCACTTGCAGGACGTGCACCAGCTGGCATTCGATGCGGCTCCGGGGTCGGCAAATGTCCAGAGAAACTCTGCTGCTCCACCGCCGGTAGGTTTTCTTGTGCCTCTGACCAGCGAGATCCATTCTGATGCTTGCAGGCTATTGTGGAGATTCCAAGGACCACTGCAGCTCGCCTGACTGCCAGATCGACTACGGCTATTGTGACGCGCACATGACCCCAGGCGGATCCTCCACCGAAGACATTCCCCGTCCCCTTGATGGGACTGCCCTTTATGGACCTCATATCATTCGATCCTGCACTGTCCCGGGTACTGTCGCTCTAACCTTCGATGACGGTCCCAAGGAGTTCACAAAGGATCTACTCGATCTTCTTGATCGGTACGAAGCGAAGGCGACCTTCTTTATCACCGGCAACAACAATGCCAAAGGTCAGATTGACAGCCCTGGAATGCCATGGGCAGGCTTGATTCGACGTATGCATGAGAGTGGCCATCAGCTTGCCAGCCACACCTGGTCTCACCAGGATCTTAGCAAGATCTCACGTTCCCAGCGTCGCATTCAGCTGTTGTGGAACGAAGCCGCTCTGCGGAACATCCTGGGATTCTTCCCTACATACATGCGCCCTCCCTATTCTAGCTGCACGGCCGAGTCCGGTTGCTTGGCGGATATGGGGGAGCTTGGCTACCATATCGTTCTTTATGATATTGACACAGAGGATTACAAGCACGACAGTCCAACGGAGATCCAACGCTCCAAGGACATCTTCGACAGTAGTCTGGATGCTCGGACTGCTTTTGACCGCCCCTGGCTTGTGATTGCTCATGATGTCCATGAGCAGACGGTCCACAACCTGACGGAGCACATGCTAAAAAAGCTTATCGCCGAGGGATTCCGACCAGTGACGGTGGGTGAGTGTCTGGGGGACTCTCCCAAGTACTGGTACCGTGAAGACAACACTGTTGATGGCCGCAACTCGAGAAAGAACGTCTTCCAGGATTCTTCAAAGATAGTCTCATTCGACGGGATGTGTGGCGGCAATATTACATGCGATGGGTCTCGCTTTGGGCCTTGCTGCAGTGGCACCGGATTCTGCGGCAATTTGACCACGTTCTGTGGCGAGGGTTGTCAGAATGATAATGGAATCTGTGACAGAAAAAAGGATGTTGTTGTCGCTGAAGAAGATCACGCCGACTTCAGACCATCTAGCAAAGTCATTTCGAAGGGCAAGCCTGCCAAGTCGGGTGCGAGTCGTATGCTCCAGCCTTCGACATTTCCCATCGAACTTGCGGTACTGCCTTTGCTCGCTCTGCTGATGGGATAGTTCGGAGACTAAGAACCTAGCAGACCAGACTTGTCCTGGTACATCATTGATATCCTAAGTGCAGCCTGATCACTATGTTGTGAGTCTTGCATGTTAACATAAGTTGAGCCTGTGCTTTGTAAGACGTTTGTACACTCCTTTGGGCATTGATAAGAAAGTTATGAAGCTTGACCATAAGGGTTACTGAAGAGCAATGATGATCATTTCTGGTTTATTGGCAGCTCCTGAAACCGTACACATTATGAAAGCGTCCCGTCGTGGCTAAGTCGAGATCCATCATAGATATAGCAATCGAGAAACTATTAAGTATAAGTACAGGAGAAAACAAAGTGCGCCCTTGTGGGTATTCCGTAAAAGACATGGCTCATGCGTTAGATGCGATTATACAGTCTCGAGTCGCTCCTCCCCCAAACAATATCCGTATCTTGAAAGAATAGAAGTAAAGAGAAGTCCGTAATCGCTAATTCTATCCCCAACTACCGTTATGTTCTCTACCCGGAGAACTGGGAATGGAATATCACCGCTTGACCACCTTCAACAACGGGGCGATCCGCGCCCGTCGACTGAGCCCCACCCGGAAGGGCACCTTACTCGTCGACGAGATGGGACTGTGCTTGTCGGGGCCCTTGTTCGGTTTCAACGGAGTGACAGGAACCGTCGCGACGGGCTCCGGGGCTGGCTGCGGATCGGGAGTCGGATCTGCTTGCTGTGGGGGTGGCATTTCCTCCTCTCCGGCTTCCTCTCCTTCTTGGATGCGCTGTCGAGCATTATTGGGTTTCTCGAGGCACTCGACCTCCGGTTGTTCCACTGTATCGCTGTGTTCAGGGAGACGGATCGGTTCTCGCTCCGATGCCGGTGCCGAAGCCTCGGGGTCGGGATTCTTTCTCTTGCGGCCGCGTTTCTTGGGTGCTGCTGCTGCTGCTGCTTCGGACTTGAGATGCGCGTTCGCCTTGTCGCCAGAATTAGTCTCGGTGGATGGATTGTCTAGTAGTGAGGGCAGTTCGACCGCGGGGCTGGGGCCGCGACGCGGTTTTGTCGGGTTTCCCTCCATGGCGTCCTCCTCGACCCAGAGGACGTCGGGCTCGATGTCGGATTCGTAGGTCTTGGTCAGCGTGATGGAGGTGGTTTTGCCGCGTTTGAGCTTTTTCTTTCGCGGTTCTTTGGGGGCGGTGGGGGTGGTTGTTTGCACGGTTGGGGGTTCGGAGGGGTTGGTCAGATTGTGGGGGTTGGGTGAGAGATCGGTGGTTGTTGTTGGGGGATGTGGTGGGGGATCTTGGTTCAATGGGTCTGAGGGGTCGGTGGGCGCTGATTTGGGGTTCTTGGGCGGTCGGCCGGGTTTGCGTTTTTCGGGTTTGGTGTTGGTATTGTTGTTGTTGGTGGTGGTGGTGGTAGTCGTGGGTTGGGCGCCGTCGGTATCCCCGGCGGCGTCGTCGTCGATAACGATCACGTTCGAGGTGGTTGAGGCATAAGAATCTGGCAGTGATGGTGCTTCTTCCTCCTGCTGCTGCTGTTTCTTCTTGCGGCCGCGTTTCTTTTCCACCACGGGGATTTCCATCGCAGGCACTTGGATGGCAACCAGCTCGTCCGTGCTCAATTGAGTAGGGAGGAGTGGTGTTGAGACGGCAGTGCGGCTTTGGGTTGGGTTGCTCGTTGGTGTGCTTCTGAGTTGGTTCTCGGTTTTGGAACGGCTTGCTTTGGCGGCTGATGGGACGGGGGAGAGGGGTTGAGTGTCGTGCGGAGAGAAGGGGGTCGCTCGGAGGGAGGCCACGCGTCGAGGAGAGGAGGTCGGTGCAACTTCCGTGGGAACGGTTGCCGCCGAGTAGCTGAAGTTGTTATGCTGATGGTGGTCGGTATCCTCAGGGTACACATTCTGGAGAGGTGGGAGTAACGCCTCGAAGACGTTGAAGGATGAGGAGGATGTTTGTGCGGCGGCGGAGGAGGGATCGAAGCTTGGGATAGAGGAGAAGTCGTGATGGTGCGGTCGTATCGGCACTTCGACGTGCGTGTGCATGGGATGTTCGTTCTGCAGATCGGATAGAGGGGCTTCGTATTGCTGGGGTGGCGGGGTAGCATTGAGGCTGGAGGTGTTGGGATGTGTGTTGGACGAAAGCGAAAGCCCCGCTTGCGCCGGACTGATATTGCTATCTATGGCGCTGTACGACGACGGATCGCTGGTATATGGATAACCGGTGGGGTCAACGCTGACCTGTTCTTCTGATTGTCGGGGTAACATGGTTACTGCGTGGGTCGATTCCAAGTGGGCGTGTTCACGGGGATGCTGCCTTGACAGGTCAACCATCTGAACCTCATCGTCGTCAAAGAGTCGTTGCTGCGCGAGGCCAATCTCAGTCATCATTGAGCCTGTTGCAAATTCTTGATTAGGATGATCGTTCATGATTGAGTGAAGCAAACTGCATGCAATCCAAGAGTCCTCCTACCCATAGATCCTGGTTGTTGGTGCTGTGGAGACGAATGCCCCGGTGGTGGTCCTTCCTGAGATTGTAGGTATTGGTCGAAGTCAATATTCAAGCTCGCATCATAGCTGCTCTCAATCTCCTGGTGCCTTTGTACATCGGCCTGGAGGTAGTCGTCGGCATGCGCGGTATCGTGTTCCTGCACTGGGGGATGGGGTCCCACAAGAGGATCATCCTCATCGTCCGAGTCTTGAATCACACGGTCATAAGACATATTTTTGGCTGGGATTGTGCATTAATGAGATTGGACGCACTGCTGTACTGTACACAGTCGTCTGCCCATGAGACTCAGTGAGTTCCAATAATATTTGGTCTGGCGCGTCCCGCCGATACGAAAATCCCCGGATGACGCGAGATCACGTGGTGATAAGACTTTCCTCTTTCGACCGCAACTAAGCTCTTGAATACAGTAGGTTATACTTAGGAATAAACACCCAAACCACCAGGTATGTGATATCATGATCTATTCACATCAAAAGCAAGGCTATGCTAGAAATAGAGATGCATCATTCCATAAGGCTCTGGGGTCGCATCACCCCCCGTCCGAAAAACTCGCTGATAACCCCGAATCGGTCCTTCGAGCGCTGCAGCTCTCCCTTGAACAGGTCGTGTTGATCTGCCGATTCGACCTGCCGCTTTCGGATGGCTTTGATGGTCGAGTTCTGCGGTGCACAAGCTGGACATTCCGCATCTTCGTCCACCCTGTTCAGGCACCGCTGGTGGAAAGAATGTTTGCAGAGGAAGTGAACCGTAGGCAGATCGAGTGCGCCACCACAGGAGTTGCACCGGCGCGATTGGAATACTACCGGTTGGGTCCCCAATTGCTCCAGCTCCTTTCGCTTACTCTCGGTCTCCTTGCTGTAACTATTGATCAATCGGCGGTTCTGGATGTTAATGTTAGCGCGAGAAAAACCATGAGTCAGGTAAGATAACGGACTGTAGAGATTTCCTTCCTTTCGCGTTCGATGTTCTCGCTAAGGTACTTCTTGACACGACCCATTGTGACGACTGCGTTGTTACTCAAAGTCTGAATGACCTGTAGCGGGGTCATAAGGCCAGCTTCATCGATACGTTTGAGAACAGCATCCAGTTCGTCTCCAGCTTCCTCGAGAATCTTGGGGCTTGAAGCAAAATAGGTGAGCGCATCCACGTAGAGCTGGGGGTCTTCCGGTCCATATTTCTTCAACGCTCTGATAGCACCGCTGGTATCTTTTGCCGATGTGAAAGAACGGAAGATGTCTGATCGCAGACCTTCTTGCTCGCGGACAAGAGTGGATCCCTCCCGGAAGCCGGACAAGTCGGATAACAGGAGAACACTCGAGGTGGATATAGGTATCTAAGACTATCAGTAACGAAGTGAGACCGGCCTGGATGATTTTCCTACATCTTTGCCCTCGATGAGCTGCTTGGCTTTGCTCTCCCAAGCCTCCTTGTCAGCGGCATCCTTCTTCCGGCCTGCAGTATCCAGATACATTTCAAAGAGGGTTGTATAGAGGTCAATCTTCTCATCCTCTTTCAAATCCTCTTTCTCGATAAGAGCTTCGAGGAATGAGATAAACTCATCGGGGTGGCCGACAAATACCGAAAACGCGGTTCTGGGCTTTGGAACCTGATATTCAATGAATTCTTCGACGTCTTCACCTTGGCCTTCGCGTGAGATTTCCACTGGTTCAGCCTTCGGTCCGGCACTGGCATTCATTAGGGGGAGAGGGAGAAAGGCGGCTAGACTTTGTAAAGTGCTACTCTGCTGCGCTTGTGGTTCAACAGGTGTCTCAACATCAGTCCTTGGCCTGTACTGTCCCTTGTAGTATTTCGTGAAGAGCTCTGTGGTTTTCTCCGGGCAGTTCGAGAGCAACACGCGGGCATATTTCATCAAGTTGTGATACGCCTTGAAAATGTCAGTCTAGAATATGGAGTGGAGTGCGTATTTACTGACCAATCCTGGATCCAGCCTCCAAATGTACTCCAGAGCCTCGGCGTATTTCTTTGAGTCCTCGATCAGGATATCAACGACCATATCATTTTCCCCATACTTCGTGGCCAGATAGGCTGCTTGTTCGTAATACCCACCCTGCCTGCACATTGCGATGGCAGTCTCAAGGTCAAATTTCAGCTCTCCAGGGGCTTTGATGAATTCAGCTAGTTTGGTCGTATCCTTCAATTTGGCGTAGCAATTCAGTAGCAGCGTGGTGTGATCAACCGTGGCTTTATCATGGTCATGTAACTCCTCCAGATATTCGATGAGATTGTGTATTCGCTGGGTATCCAGGTACTATATCCTGCTCAGCAAATTGATGGGATTCATGGATCTCGAGGCACCTTACCTTTCGAATGACTTGCGATGGTTCTGTGTTGTCAATCGCTCGAAGATATTGTTGCATTGCAGTGTCGTAGTCGCCCCTCTGATATAAAAAATCTCCGTACTTTCGGTAGATAGCATTCTGCTGCAGAGTGTCCACACCAGTCTTCTGGGCGATGTTGATAGCCAGAATGTATAGATTCCGTTGGTAAAGAATCTCAAGCTTC